TCCCAGCGTTTCATTGCATCTGTATCTTTGGGGTAAATCCCTAACAGTGCAATTGATGGGTTGTAGGGCGGGTCTATTTTTAACTCTTTGAGGAACCTCCACACAGTTTTCCAGAGTGGCTGCACCAGTTCACATTCCCACCAACAGTGTAAGAGGGTTCCCTTTTCTCCGCATCCTCTCCAACATTTGTGGTTTCCTGCCTTGTTAATTTTCCCCATTCTCACATGTCTAGTTTCTATTTCACTTTGCCCAGCAGTTGACTCTATTGATCATTCTGCCTTAAAACTTTTCTCTCAATGTCTATGAATCTCACTTTCCTCTGACTCCCTTCCTCTCAGGTCTGACCTATTTTGCTCCTCCCTTGTCTTCCACCTCCTTTTTAAAATGCTACTGTTTCCTGGGATTTGGTTTATTTATCCTCATCACGCTCTCATGCCATCTCGTCGCCATTTTAGCCACATCCACTGACGGAATGCTGGCTCCCAAATCTTTATTTCAACTCATGCATTGTGCTAGCTTCAGAATCAGATTTCAAACTTCCCACAAAACATGTGCACTTCAATGACCTACAGATGTCTCAGGATTAATGTTCCAGAGCCAAGTTCATTATCTTTTCCTCCTGTTCCTTGCCTCAGGAAATGACATCACCATCTCCCCAGGTCATTCACTGAACATTACCCTAGACTCCTCCTCACCCTCTACATGAATCAGCAGCCAAGTCCTGTAGAATTTCACCATCCTGACATCCCTTGCCTCTCTGTTATCTCCCTCCCCTCCATTGCCATGGATACAATCTTAGTCCAGGACCTGGTCACCTCTCATTTCCACTATTGAAATTTCCTCTTAGTTATTTCCTTTTCACTAGTCTTCCCCCCTCCTTCCATCCTTCCTCCAGATGATTGTCAAAGCAATCTTGACAAAATGGAAATCTGAACTTCATATTCTCATCAAAAACCCTTTGGTGTGCAGGTAAAGAGCAAACATCTTAGCATTTAAGGTACACATTGGCCCTACCTTTCTCTCCAGCCTTATTTCTCGCAATTCTCCACCCCTTTAAAATCTAGTCTGCATTTATAAGGACTCACATTCCCCAAACACACTATGGTATCCTGTCCCCATGCCTCTGTACACACAGCCCCACATTAAGGAACACCCTCCCTTGCTTGCTGGCCTTCAGAAGTCCTATTCTTCCCTGTACAGTCACTACGGTGACGCCTCACATAACCATTCTCACCAGAGTGAAGCAGCTCGCATCTTTGCATAATCTGTGCAAAAGCCAAACAGTGTCCAGGTTGAACCATGCTGTAACTCTTCGCTTTCAGAACTGCCTCTCCCAGACTATAAGGTTCTTAAGGGCAAAGCTTGTAAACTTTTGGTTTCTATCATCAGCACTTAGCACGATGCTACTAGATTGTTATTGGAATTGACCATTGCTATTACTATTAGATCACTGCTATTTGAATGTAAACAGAAATGAATATCCACAATTTAAATCTCAATATTTAAGATGCACAACTATGAAATAAAGACATTTCTGTCATAAGATGATTTTGATTAAAAAAAAAGAGCTTTAAAAACAGGAAAAAAAATTCATCTACTTAGTATGATTTAACTACACCCCAGACTGAAGGGAAGATAAACAGTATTGCTATTTACCAAGGCCCATCTCAATTTTGTGATCAATCAAATCAACTCTACAATTTTTGGCAAGCTGTGCCCAGCCCACTTTATTTTTTTTTAAGATTTTATTTATTTATTCATGAGAGATACAGAGAGAGAGAGAGAGAGAGAGAGAGAGAGAGGCAGAGACACAGGCAGAGGGAGAAGCAGGCTCCATGCAGGGAGCCCGACATGGGACTTGATCCTGGATCCCCAGGATCAGGCCCTGCGCTGAAGGTGGCCCTAAACTGCTGAGCCTCCCGGGCTGCCCACCCCCCCCCCCCTGCCAGCCCACATTAATAAGAATTCTGTTTCTTATCTAAGTGGTCAGTTCAGCAGAGTAAGGCAGAAATAGCACATCTTTAAATGTCAGAAAAACCAACATCTGAATCAAAGCTCAGTCTCTTAATTGCATTATGACTTGGAGATATTTAATCTTCTTGAAGCTCAGCATTTTCAATGGTTATGCAGGCTAGTTGAAGCAATTCACCCAAACACTTCACACTTTGATACCGCATACATTGCCACTGCTCAGTGGTGTTTATTTCCTTCCCCTTTACAGAATAAAGGTGATTTTTGTGCCTTTTTATCTGAGCCCCTCTTCACAAAGATGACAAAAGCCTCCCCAGAACCACTCTATTTTCTCCCTAGACTGACAACCAAGAACTCTCATCAACTGTTGGTTTTCTCTTTCGAAAGTAATATCTTTCATTTTCTCTTTCTCTCTCTCCACTCCCCCCCACCGCCCCATCATTTAGCTAAAACTAAATAAAGTGATCAAGTCAACATAATAGATGAAAAACATCGATTTACCTTAAATGTTAACCAGCTGCCACCAGTTGATGGGAACTGAAACTATCTCCCAAAGCGTGCCTGGAAGGGCTCAGCCCCTAGCATCCCTCCCCCAGGTCTCCTTCCCCTCACCTTCCCCCCAGGATCTCCTTGGCAGGCAGCCCTCTTGGCGCTGATTGCCCAGCGTAGAATCACTGAAGCAGAGTCACAGCCTGATTGGCTCAGTTCACTATCAATCCCTAACCTGGCCCAGCCTTTTCTCAAGTTTACACTTTTGTTGCCTAGGACCTGTGGTAGCTGTGAAAGCCCAAGCGGCTTGCCTGAGAGGGAAGGCAGCAGGAAATGTAGCTGGCAATTGTTTGGTTTCCAGGACGGCATCAAAACTTGCCTCATATGTTGTATGAAATAATTGTCTTACTCCATGAGACATAGCCTTCCTGCCCTTCTGTTGTCTCCAGAGGACATCCTGCTAGGGTGTCTCATTATCTGTCAGGTGAGACTTAAAACCTCAACACACAGGAGATGCTAGGTGTAATTCTAGGTGATTCAAAGCCCTCTCTCCTTCTCTGCATGCTCACACGGACAGGATGTCACTCCCTACTGTTTCCACCCTTGGTGTCATCTTTTCTCCTTTCTTCTCCTCTTCTCACTTCCCTTTTTACTCTTGTTCCTTAGCAATGAGTTTGCCAGATTAGAAGCAGTCTAATGCCCTGTTTAGAAAACAGGGCTCATGCTCTCCTTCATTCTTGTACCCATGACATCCACCCTACCTCATTTCCACCCCTTCTCTCACTTCCATCATGGAGTAGTCCAAAGAAATTAGGACTCTAATGATGAAGCCCGGAGTTCCATGTTCTATTCTGCATCGTACATTATATGTATTCTCAGGCAAGTGTGGCCATTGATTTCTACAATCTCTACAGAAGACATCATATTTGTCTTGTCCAATTCTCACTCACGCCCTGGAGATCAAGAAGGTAATATTCTCTGTGGATTTTAATGAAGACTTGCCTTGGTTGAAGGAATTTCCAGCAGAGTGTGATTTGAGGAACAAGAAGGGGCCACTTGTTAAATAAGTTGTCTCTCTTTTAGGATAAATGCTGCTTTTAGAAGGCCTTTCTCTATGGTGTATGACACCTACTAAGCATAAAAAGCTATTGACACTGACAGGGTATTTGATGTGCAATCCACCTTCACCCCAGGATAGGACTATCTTCCCCCATACACTATTAGCTTTTCATCCAAAAACATCCCTCCTTACTGCAGCTGACCTCAAGGTACTAAGCTGTATTATTTCATTTTCACTAAATGTAATTACTAAGCTAAACTAACCACTGAGACAAGATGCACTGTCAATGACAGATAAATCTACCTTGCAATTAATCAGTAAGACTGTGGGAAGCCCCATGAGAGGACCAGGATACTCTGGATCATCTTTGCCTCTCCCAAAGTGCCCAGCACAGTGCCTTGCACAAACACGAAATTGGGCAGTGTTGGCTGAATCAAATTGTTGAACTGGGTAAATACACTTATATTAAGGACATTCAAAATATGAAACCGGGCAGCCGGGGTGGCTCAGGGGTTTAGCGCCACCTTCAGCCCAGGGCGTGATCCTGGAGACCCAGGATCAAGTCCCACGTGGGGCTCCCTGCAGGGAGCCTACTTCTCCCTCTGCCTGTGTCTCTCATGAATAAATAAATAAAAATCTTTAACAAAAAAAAAAATGAAACCTCTAGCTAGTTCCCTGAACTAAGTAGAAGTTTAAGACAACAAGTATTCCATTTACCTCCTTTTTCAAAGATAAGTGGTTAACATTTAAACAAATAACCATCTCACAGTAGCCTGCAATTAGGACATGATAAACCAACAGAAGACTGACATAGAGGAGGAATCACATCCATAGAGCACTGTCTGTAGGAACCAATATGTGAATGTGGTCAATGCTAATGTAGAAACAGATAAGCAGAAGACTCACTACAAAATGAAAGGAAATCAGATGCAGATTAACTTCATTTCAGCATCTTAAAATATACCTCTAAGTACATGTATTTTATATGTAGATACTGTGTCATTTTTCATGCCCATTAAAGATAAACAAATATTTTGTCTGTGTTTATCATTTATCAAATGTGTTATTTTAGGTTATAATTATGGAAAGACTCCGGTCCTACTCACAAAATAAACTTGAATTAAATCTAATATATGAACCTGATCCCTTCATCTGCTTACATTCATTAGTTCTTTGATTCTTCAAGAAATAACCCCCCCAATTCTTATACACACATATCTCTTCTCTCTTCAAAACCGCACTAGCTCTACTATAAAAATTATTAAAATGTATTTGCATTGTCAATTATACTCAAATGCAAAAATAATTCACGAATACTACATCTTAAGGGACTCAACAGAAAGGCACTGAAGAACACATCTCACACATAGATATTTTCAAATCAATTTTAAAGTATAATTTGTATTCAATAAGCTGCATCCATTATATGGATAGAACACAAATGTTACTCCATTCACTTATTAATGGACATGTAGTTTTTTCTTAGTCTGGAGTTATTATAAATAAAGTTATTATGAACATTGTGGACAGATTTCCACATGGACAGAGGCTTTCATTAACTTGAGTAAATACCAGAAGTGGAATGGCTGGATCATGTGGTCAGTATGTGCTGAACTGAGAAATTGTGGAGTGATTTTCCTGTGTGGCTGCACTATTTCACACCCCCTCTCAGTAATGGAATGGATGTGAGCCCCAGTAGCTCCGTCTTCTTGCTAACTACTCATATGATCAGTTTTTTCATTGTAGCTGTTCCAGTAGATGTGCTGTGACACTGTGGTTTTATTTTGTATTTCTCTAGTGACTAATATGTCTAGTAATTTTTCATGTGATTATTGGTCATTGCATATCTTCTATTGAGAAGTGTCTGCTCAAAATTTTTTGTCCATTTTTGTACTGGTTGTAAGATTTGCTTTGATACAAGTTCTTTGTATCTTCTAGATACAAGTTCTTTGAGAAATGTGCTGCAATATTTTCTCCCAGTTGATAGCTTATATATTTGTCTTAAGAGTAAAAAAGTTTTTTCATTTTGACAAAGTTTAGTTAATCAAATGTTTTTCTTTTATGATTTGAGCTTGTGTGATCTAAATGATAAATCTGTTCTACCAAAGGACTACAGTGATTTTCCTTTAGAACGTTCAGGGTTTGCTTTTAGGTCAATGATTCACTTTGAGTTAATTTTTGTGTATGATATGCAGTGACAGTTAATGTCGTTTGGTGTATGTCATTAAGTAAAAATGAAAGACCATTCAGATATCAATTGTTCCAGTATAATTTGCTGAAGAGATTTCTCTTTTCCCACTGATTTGTCTTTGCACCTTTGTCTAAATCAACTGACATGTCCATGTGGGTCTATTTCAGAATTGCAAGATACATTTGGAGTGGTAGCCAGAAACCAATCACAGAGAGATTGTATTCTATGCAATGAGAACTGACAAAAGATCTGAACCAGGGAATGATGAGATCAGACGTTCATACCATCAAGGCCATGCTGACAGCTCAGAGGATAAGGTTTTGATGTAAGGAGATTAGAGGCATCATCCTGGTTCACTGGCTCCCTTTGATCAGATTTCCTGGGTGGGAGTGGAGCTTAGGAAGCAGCAGGCACAGAGTTGGCCTTACTGAGTTATAAGTGTTCAGGGAGGATGACATGGTGGTAGTGGGAACATCAGCTGGAAGCCTCATCCCTTGGTCCTTTTGTTGGTTACGAGGGGAAAACATCTTATCTATTTATTCTAATGACAACACAGAGAAACCTTCAGGTCTGCTTTTCAAGGAACTATTGCCAGAAACCAGTTTCAGAGATTTCATAAGAATTGCAGAACTAAGACCTTGAATTACACACACACACACACACACACACTTCCTCATGTGACATGCTTGTGGCTGTAGGTGACATGGTGCAGCATGAGAACACACAGAACTCACTACACACTGGCACCAGGGACATTCTACCCAGAATGTTACGTTATCCTATCATAATATTCCCAAGGGTGGGGTTCTTTCCCTTGTTACATGGAATATTTGTAGTAGCTGCTTCATCCTCTATTTGAGTTATTTCAACATGTAGTCACAACCTCAGAATTAAGCAATCAAAAACTAAGGTGTCTGGGACCATCCCGTATATCTACTGTTTTCTTCACTATGTTTCCATATACAAGATACTCTACGTCTGAAATGCTTAAGTATACAGTGAATTCCATGTGAAAACACAAAAGCAAATATGAAGGCACAACTGAAGGAAAGTAAAATATATTATACAAGGAACCTACCAGAGAGGGAGCCTGGTATCTAATAAAGGAGATAGAAAACTCCAAAAAAGAGGGGGGAGCTACAGACAATAACATGGAGCCTCCACACCAGCCCTTTTCAGAGAATCAAACACTAAACATATAAAAATCCTGGTGGTTAAGGCACACGTTTTGGGGTGTATTTTGCTAGGAACTGAATGTAATTCCTATAGAGGTATAGAGGGATATTCTGTGCCACATTTGCGGGGGCAGGGGGGTAGTGGTGGGGGCACAGATGGATGTTTCCTAAGTTAATCAAGTCCTGGGAACTGCCATACTCACTGGATCTGAGGATCCAGAGCCTCATGGAGAAGTCCAGGATCTTCAAGTAAGGTCTCCATGATTACATTTTAAGAGAGGGAATCTTGAAAAGGGGCCTATGAGAAGTGAAAACCACAGCATTAGCTGTGGCCTAAAGGCAGCCTTCAGGCCTGAGCAACCAAGGAGGAGTACTTCACAGGAGGGACCTGGGACAGAGAAGACAGGTGGAGTCCTGGGGGAGCCACTCCTGCCTAGCTGCAGGACAGAGACCAGGCTTCCTGATCCTGGAGGTGAGGTGAAAAGGACCGACAAGAGGAAAACCCAACATGGAAGTACTGGCTAGTATCTGATCTCATAAAATGTGAGGCTGGACTGGGCAGAGAGACTGTCAGACACCAAGGATGAAGTAAGAAGGGTGCTGTGTCTAGGGACAGGGAGTGGGGAGGAAGGTGGGGATGTTTGCTGAAGGTTTGGGTCTGAGTGAGGATGTCACTGATGAGGGGTAAGTCAGGAAGCCAAGATCAAATTCATAGACACAGAAAGTAGAACAGGAGTTGCCAGGCGTGGGGCTGGTGGTGGGGGCAAGGATATGGGGAATTACTATTTCATCGGTGTGCAGTTTGAGTTTGGGAAGATAAAATTTGTTCTGGAGTGGGTAGTGGTAATGTTTCCATGATAATGTCAATGTGCTCAATGCCACTAACTGTACAATTAATAGCTAAAATATGAAGTTTTATACAATATGTATTTTACCACAATTTGAAAAAATAATCCCCAAGATTGCTTCATAAGAATTTCCAAACAGGGCAGGAAATTATGAGGAGATATTTCTACGCCAACCTCAAGTACCAATACAGGGAAGACACCAGGGGTGTCCTGTGCTGGGGAAAGCCATCTGCAACCAGTGGCTCCCCAAACACCTGTCAAGGCTGAACCTCCATCAGGCCTTCTTCTGCTTCCTGGCCCCACACAACCACCTGGCCACCATGCCCAGCAGCTTCCCACAGAGCCACAGGGTGCCCAGGGTGACCACCAGCAGGAACAAGATGACGTCCAGCAGGTACTGTTCATGCCATGGCTGCTGCAAGGCATAGGGCTTGAGGTGTGCTGCACCCCCTGTCTGGAGGATGTGGTCGATCCAGCCCACAAGCCTCTGGGCAGGGGTCAGGGGGTGAGAGCGCCTGATGATGCTGGCAGCCACGGCTGCTGACTTGTACCTGTTGGCAGAGACAGCGTTGGGGCATTACTCATGTGACCTCAGAAGTCTTAGAGACCTTGTATCAACACACACACACCACACACACATTTCATCCATATGCACAAAAGACTGAGTTTGAAGGAAAAGTGGTTGGCCTGATCTTGTCACAGTCGAAGTTCTAACCGGTCTCACCATGCAAAGATCCAAGCCTAGTGCTAAAATGCTAAACTATACAAAGATGACTAAGCTGTAAGGACAAGTCTCTACCCAAGGACACTTATGCTACAATAAAGGATAAGTATACAGGGATATATGCCTATGTGACATACATCCGATTCAGGGTAAATGTCCTCGAGACCCTGATAAGGTATTCAGTCCGTCGTGGTTACCACATTCTTGACCTATACTAGAATTTACTTAAGAGAACATGGATCCTTTAACTGACCCACTTAACAGGAATTCATCCCAGCTTACTTTGTGGCAGGCCCTGTGCTAGGCCCTGGGAGCACAGGGGAAACAAGAGACACACCTGGCCATCCAGGGGAGCTTACTCTCTACTAGCTAGTCGAAGGGACACACAATAAATTCAAACAGAATGAAATGGGGTGGTTACTGATCCTGAGAAGTGTGAAGAAGAGAAAATGAGTAATGATTGAAGGGGCTGGGTAAACAGTGCATCTAGGACTGTCACACAAAGACCTCCTGCCTCTCTGAGGAGAGGACATTGGAGATGAGTCCATGTCATGAGGAGCCAGCCCTGTGAAGGGAAGGGAAGGGAAGGATGTCCTAGGTAGCATCACTGATAAAGGGCCTCAGGTGGAGACAGTGTGGCATGTTGGGGGACAGGATGGTGACCTCCCTAGTATAATTCTACTATCAGCAGCCCCAAAATATAAGACCTCTCACAGACCCTGTGTAGGATCAGAGTCCTCAAAACCCTTAAGGTAGAAACTGTTCTTGAACCTAACATCTAACCTACATTGCCCAGTCTTGCCCTCAGGGGAAACAGGTCAGCTATTAGCATCACACACATATTATTCCATGGAAGTTTGGAAGCTTCAACTTTTATAGCAAAAAAAAAAAAAAAAAAAAAGTGCCACACCGTGCTCTTGTATTTGATGTCTTCATTCACCCTAAGTGACCACAAACCCAAGTGACCACAAGAGCTCCATACCTCTTGTCTTCTATGACTTGCTTCATCTTCAGAGCCAATGTCTCTGCCTTGACCTGCTTTAACTGGATAGAGACACCAAACTTTTTGGCTTCTACTCGGATCAGGTTTTCGGCCTGTTCTCCAAAGACAGGAATCCCTATCATGGGCACACCATGTTGGATGGCCTCCATTATGCTATTCATCCCACCATGGGTGACAAAAAGACGGATGTGTGGGTGAGCTGTTGCAAATTGGGAACAGAACAGAATAGTGCAGGGTGAAAATTTTCAGAATATCTTTGAAAGTATCAAGGGCAGAAAAAAATACAAAGGAATTTAAAGGATGTTGGAGAAAATGGAGTTACTGAGTTAGTTTAGGGCACACTCGAGGATGCATATTCCCCAAGATACAACATTCTGGCCTTGTCTCTGTACAGAGATTCCTCTCTATCAATCCATCGAAGACTTAGAATCCAGAGACAGTTGCTGAGCATGGTGAAGCCAACATTCTCCTCCATCCATCCATCCCTCCATCCATCTTTATCTTTCTATTCTGTGCCTACCTTTGTTTCTCTTATGTCTGTTCTCTCATTATTAGTCTCTCCCAGTCCCACTCTGTTTATCCTGTGATTTACTATCTCTGTCTCTAGTTGTCTGTCTCTCACTCTCCAGGTCTCTCACTCAATAGGTCTCATGCCTTCTCTTTCATTGTTCATTCACTTCCCTCTTATCTGGAGGCTAACACTTTCACTGACATCACATCTCATGTGGTATTCATCAAACTTACACTATGTCTGCCTTCTCCTCAATTTCATAAAAACCCTCTAAAGTAGGCAATGATGCTCTACACCTCTCAGTATTTCCAATTCTTGTGTGCTCACCCCACTCTTATTTAGACAAAAATAAAACAAGTGCTGATAATGAAGAGTTCACCTCAAACTGCCTCTCAACAGTGATGTGCATCAGAATCTATTTATATTTATCTGAAAATCACAATTCTCTTCCCTACCCCATGCCCTGTGAATATATGTGCAGAGTCCTCTATCTTAAGTTTCCAATATATTTGTGAGCTAAAATGCTGAGGACTAATCTTTGATGTAGACAGAGGTTGTGGCACTGAGGGGCTCCAGAAGTGGCACAAGGAGCTTTCTGCTACCAGAGAATTCAATGGACAAAATAGCTGGATAAGGCTAAGAGGTTAGTCAGCTTGACACTCGGATATCTTGGCACACCTTGAAGGGTTGACACCATCAACATCAATTCTTTGAAAGCTTGAGTACATCTTTTGTAGGGTATGAGAATGTACTAAAATGTGTGGGTGTGTGGGTGTCTATAATGGCACATGGCCTAACAGATACTCAAGTGGCCAGGAACAACAGTGGCAACAAGACCCCCAGTACGTGTTCTAAGGGTCCATAAAGAGTCTTGGATTATGTCTGGGCAACCTTTGTCTGTGCCAAATATGGTAAAAACATCCTAATGACAATATTGTTTCTGGCTGTAGGTATCAGGACTGCAATAGAAAGGAAGAAGAAAACATGCCAGTTTTACTCATTTGGGGAGTATAGTCTCATTTCCTAAGAACTTCAGCTAACTACTCCATTCCTGTCCTCTCAAGATTATCTTTGGCTACCAGATGCCCCTTCCCATGTTGGCAGAGTTGCCCAGTGGAGCCCCAAAGATACATAAATGGAAACATAGAAGTAGATTGGATCTCCTTACCCAAGAGGTCATTCTGGGGAAGCCAGTCCACAATCTTCACATTTGCTGCCAATTTGACATCTTTGGGCCAGTGAGAAGGATTGTACTTCCATATCACCCCTTGAGACAGATGAGCAAAGGCACCGTTCATCTCCCTGAGGACTTCCCGGGACTGATAGAGATTCACCATGGAGCCCAGGGCCACAAGGACAAAACCAGAGTCTCCAAACTTGGCAATGAAATTCTCAAATTCCTGGAGAGAGGTAAGAAAGGAAACGAGGTGAACAAAGTTGTTTATGAAAGCCCAGACAGCCTTGGAATCAAAGTCAGCTATTTACAAAATATACCCTCCTCTCCAGTGAGCCTAAACTCACTGCCTTGAAGTGGCTCTCATAGCCCCTGAGACGGCTCACTGCTCTCTGCACTGTGTTCATATCCATTGTGTCTGGCAGCCTTGAGGCCATTTTTCTGAAACCTCAGGACACATCCTACCATACAAAAACACTCAATAATCTCAAATGAACGTGAAGAGAGCTTTAGTGATCCAGTCACTACCACAATAGCCCACGTTGCCCATAAAGGACTCAAAGCATACTGTGGCACCAACATCTAGATCCAGGACTTGCATGTATAACAATGTTTTATAAAGAGGAAAGTCCATGTGTTGGGAATTTTTCTTCATTGAAAACATGACCCCAGTACCAAGGTCATCCTCATCCTCATTCTAGGTGTGGGGGCATATATATTGTCATTTAGGAGTGTCCCGATGCCATTCCTAAATGCTAGGATGCTAGTGCCTGGGAGAGTGCCAGTTGCTGTCCTGGCCCAGTACAGGGCAGTAGGGTTTCTAGAAATTGAAGTAGATGATGGGAAAGGGTCTCTATCAGGTGTCTGCCTCATGTAAGCTATTAGCCATCTGTCTGCCTTCTTTGTTGAAAGGTCTGGGAAGGTTTTTGCCTCATTTTTAAATTATTGGTTTTCTTATTGTTAAATTTTAAGAGTTCTTTGCATACTATGTATATTTGTGTGTATAAAGTGTTTGCATATTTTAAGTAATAGTCTTGAACAAAAAGGTCTGTTCCAAATACTTGCTCTTGTTCAGTGGCTCCTCTTTTTATTCTCTTGACAGTGTCTTCCCAGAACAGAATTTTTTTTTAGATTTTTATTTATTGATTTGAGTGAGAGAGTGTGTGTACAAGCCGGGGGTGGGAAGTGGGGAGAAGCAGAGGGAGAAACAGGCCTCGGCTACCAGAGAGCCCAAACCAGGGCTCCATCCCAGGACCCTGGGATCATGACCTGATCCAAAGGCAAACACTTGGCTGACTGAACCACACAGCTGCCCCACAACAGAATTTTAATTTCAACTTAGCACACTTATCAATCCCTTCTTTCACAGAACACAACGTAGGTTTTACATTTAAAAGGTCTTCACTAGACTCTAGTTCATCTAGATTTTCTCTAATATCATATTCTAAAAGTTTTATACTCTTGCATTTTATATTTAGGTCTGTGGCCCATTTTTAGCTAATTTGCTTGAAGGGTGTAGGGTCTCAGTCTAATTTATTTTGTATGTGTGCAGATACCCATTTTTCCAGCACCACATTTTCGAAAGTCTATGTTTCCTCTCTACTATTATCTTTACTCCTATGTGAAAGATCAGTTTACTAAATTTGTGTGGGTCTATTTTGGGGTTTTCTAGTGTGTTACATTTGCAATCCGTCTAATCTTTTGCCAATATCATAACGTCCTGATTACTGTAGCTTTATAGTATGTTTTGAAATTGAAAATGTCAGTCCTCCAACTTTATTCTTCATCTTCAATATTGTGTTGGCTCTTCAAGATTTTTGCCTCTCTATGCAAATTTTAGGATCAGTTCATTAATATCTACAATATAATTTGCTGAAATTTTGACTGTGTTTGCAATGAATGCATAGATCAATTTGGAGAGAACTAAAATCTTGACAATATTGAGTCTTCCCATGCATGGACATGAATTTTCTCTTATTTAGTTCTTTTGTTTCTTTCATTAGAGTTTTATAGTTTTTATCATATAAATCTTTATATATTTTGTGGATTTATTCCCAAGATCACATTTTTGGTGGTGCTAATGTAAATTGTATAGTGTGTTTAATTTCACATTCCTCCATGCATTGCTAATATATAAGAAAACTATTGATTTTATATATTGTATTCTGGACATTGCCATGATTGCTTCCTATTTCAGGAATTTTTATTTTTTTATTCTTTGGCTTTTTCAGATTTTCAAAATGGACCATCATATCATCTGCAAACAAATTAGTTTTATTGCTTCCTTCTTAATCTATATACCTTTTTTCCTTTTTGGTCACATTTCCTTTCCTTGAATATTATCTTTCCTTTATTTCCTTTTTTTTTTTTCACTTAAATGCAACTTGCCAACATATCATTTCTTTACTTAGAACATCCAGTATGAGTCCAAAAAGTGGCAGTGAGGGGACATACTTGCCTTGTATTGATAACTTGTCCTCTCATTTTCTATACAACAACTTTTGATATAGAGAAGTTTTTAATCCTGAGGAAGTCAAATTTATCTATTTTTTCCTCTGTTACTCATCTCAGTGTCATATCTACAAATTCATTGCCAAGTAAGTGCATGCAGACTTATCCCTTTCTTTTCTTCTAAATATTTTATGGCTTTTACCTTTTTAATTATACCATTGATCTATTTTGACTTAATTTTGGTATGTGGCATGAGAAAGGCTCAAAATACATTCTTATTCATATGAATATCCAGTGGGATCAGCAGCATTTGCTGAAGAGACTATTCTTTCCTTTGTTGAATAGTTTTGGCAAAATCCTTGCAAAAATGATTTGGTGAGAGATGTGAGTCATCCAACTGTGTTCTTTTTCATATTACTTTGATTATTCAGGGTCTCTTACATTTCCATATGAATTTGAAAATTGGCTTTTTCATGTCTATAAAAAGAAAAGGCCATTGAACTGTAGATAAGGATTAGATCAAATCTGTAGATCACTTTGAATAGTATTGCTCTTTTAACAAGATCAAGTATCACCATCCACGGTCTGGAGGTGTCTTCCTATTTATTTTGGTCTTCCTGGATTTCTTTCAGCAAATTTGTAGTGTCCAATGTACATGTCTTTCAATTCCTCAGTTTAATTGGATGCTGTTGAAATAGTTTTCTTTATCTTATTTTCAGATTGCCCATAGCTGCTGTATGGAAACACAAATCATATTTTCATATTGATATTTTCCCCTGAAACTTTGTTGGGTTAATTTATTAGAACTAGGGACGCCCAGGTGGCTCAGTGGTTGAGCATCTGTCTTCGGCCCAGGGCGTGATCCCGGAGACCCGGGATCAAGTCCCACATTGGGCTCCTGCATGGAGCCTACTTCTCCCTCTGCCTGTGTCTCTGTCCCTCTCTCTCTGTGTGTGTCTCTCATGAATAAATAAATAAAATCTTTTAAAAAATTTATTAGAACTAGTAGTTTCTTTTTGGTATATGAATTCTTTGGGAATTTCTGTATAGAGAATTATGTCATATGAAAATCAAACTATTTCTACATTGTCCATCCCAATTTGGATGCCTTTTCTTTCTTGTTCTTGCCTTCAAAATATATCAAGGGCATATTTGAATAGCAGTGATATAAGTGGGCATCTTAGATTACTGATCTTAGGCAACATAATTTCAGTCTATCATAAAGACTACAATGTTAGCTGTGAGTGTTCTATATACTCTTTATCATGTCCAAGAAGTATCTTTATACTCCTAGTTTTGTGAGTGTTTTTATCATGAAAAGGGGTGAGTTTTGTCAAATAACTTTTCTGCATATGTTGACATGATGTATTTCTTTCTCCCCTTCATTCTAATAATATGTTGTATTACATTCATTTTGTTATATTAAACCATTTATAAATATCCTAATATCCTGTAAAAGTTATGAGCTAAGCCTATTTTGTGTGATATTAATTATTATATAGCCACCCCTAGATGATTCTTTAGAACTTTCAGATTTAATGCTCTAAAAATGAGCATTAATACACTTTTGTCAATTCTTCAAAAACATTAGTTTTTTTTTTCCTCTTCTGCATTGTTTGGTTGTCCCCAGCTCAAAGCCTTTAATCTATTGTTTAATCTGGCTCTATTTGACTCCATCCAGCACTACACCATAAGAACCATCCAAGAGGACCACTTAAAATCAGCTTTGCTGTCTTTTGAAAATTATAAGATTAATATAAATCTATTATTTAAAATTGAGAAGAGCAGAGCATGATATAACTAGAAGAAGCTCCATGCTCCCATTCCCTAACAGAAACATTTGAAAGAAAGAAAGAAAGAAAGAAAGAAAGAAAGAAAGAAAGAAAGAACTAAAGACAGACTGCACTGCAGGCAAATGTGTAACCAGTCCACTGAAGCCAGAAAATAGTTATGGAAACACTCTTTCACCAGCATCCCTACCCCCAGCATGTGTATATCCACAAGAACAAGTATAAAATTCGACCCTCACCTTAACACCATACAAAAAACTCAACTCAAAATGGATAAAAGATTTAAACATGAGGAGTGAAAGCTCTTGGAGGAAAATACATGGAGAAAATTTCATGATATTGGTCTTGGCAATGATTGCAATGATATAGCACAATGCACAAGAAACTAAATTGTCAAATTAAAAGTGAACACCAAGATAAATAATACCAACAAGAACAAAACCAGTTGGGACTCATGAAGCTAGAAAGCTTCTGCACTGCAAAAAAATAATAATAATAATAATCAATAGAGCAACAGGCAACCTACAGAATGGAAAATATTTGCAAACTATTCCTGATAAGAGATTAATTTCCAAGATGCATAGGAAAGATGACAACTCAATAGAAAAAAAATCTTATACCCACATTAAAAAATAGGCTAAGGACTGGAATAGACATTTATCCAAACACAACATGCAAATGGCAAGCAGATATATTTAAAAATGCTCATCAATACTAGTCATCAGGGAAATGCAAATCAATTATACAATGAAATGTCATTTCATATCTATTAGTATGGTTATTATTAAAAAATATAAGACGTGTTGAGAATATGGAGAAAGAACAAGACTTATAACTGTTTTTGGGAATGAAAAATGGTGAAGCCACTATGGAAAAAAGTATGGAAATTCCCACTGAAATTAAAAATAGAACACCATATGATGGAGCAATCTGATTTCTCTTTCTGTACCCAAAAGATGGAAATTAGGATCCTAAAGAGATGCCTGCATTCCCATGTTTATTGAAGCACTATTCACAATACCCAAGATATGTTAACAACCAAAATATCCATTCAAAAGATGAATGGCTAAAGAAATTGTATAAATATATATATATATATATATATATATATAATGGAATACATTAAAAAGAAAGAAATTTTGTAATATGCAAAAACATGGATGAACATTTAGGACATTCCACTAAGTTACATAAGCCAGAATGGCAAATACTGCATGAATTAACTTATATGAAGCATCTAAAATAGTCAAATTAATGGAATCTAAAGTGGAAACTGGTTTTCAAGGTTTGTGCCAGGGGTTGGGTGGTGGGGGGCACAGTGATGAGGAAAAAGCGTGGCTACTAGTCCATGAAGGAAGAGCTGTAGGTAAATGAGATGTATAAGATCTAGAGATCTGAAGAACAACATGGTACCTAAGTCAATAATTATGTATTGCACTATTAAAAATTTGATAAAGGGGTAAGTCTAATATTAAGTGGTTTTACCACATAAAATAGAATATAAAATTAAAAATATATTACTCCCAGTTCCCTCTGGCAGAGGAGTTACCAGTTCTGCACTGAAGAGCTCTGCATGATGTCGATATTGAGAGCTACAGTTTTACTTACTTGTGGCACTGGTTTAACAGGTCTGACCATTAAGCCTCCAACATACACAGTGTTGGGAAGCAAGGGCCGAGCAAATTCAAGGGCAAAGTCAGAGTTAACAAACCACAGCTCTGCTTTCTTTAGAAGATGAGACAAAACTGGCCTAGAGCCTTCTGGAAAATGTTCCTTAATGGTGTTGTCAAACGTAGATTGGATTTGCCATTTCTTCATGGAGAAATCAAAGAGCATCAGAAAATTCTTCACTCTGCCCCAGAAATCCATGGGGTTGGTTAGCCAGGAACGGAATACTGGAATATAAGACACAGGGATTGGTAGCCCAAAGTCCACATTGCCGAACTGGGTGGGAAGAATTGACACAAATGGCTTCCCAAGCTTCTCAGCAATCAGGAAAAAACAGAAGTCAAATGCTTCAACAAATACCAGATCAAAGTTCTCATTTTTAAAGAAATCCATGATATCTCCTCTCCTTAGCAAATCACTGCATCGAATCCCCAGTTGTCCCATTAACTTTACAAAGTTGTCAAATGTTTCTCTGTTTAAAACAAAAGTAATGACAAGTATTCATTGGAGGTGTTAATTTCACAATATTAGGAATATTTTGGGCTCAAAAAAAAATCTCATGTAAGTAAGACCACCTCTAACATCAACCCACCAACTTTACCAATGTCCAATGAATACTCTGCTCTAGTCACTCTACTCTGGTTGTTTCTGCTTCCTAAAATATTCTCACTTCCTCCCCTCCCCTTTCTCTGGCCAATCCATATGCACCCTAAACTAGCAAAGCTAATTTAGGTGTTTCTACATTGAATACATTCTCTGACACTAGCAGATCTCAGAGTTCCTTGTCTAGTTGATACATTCTGTGATGCTCTGTTTAACTTTCATTTGCATACTGACCTTTTATGAGTGACCGTCCTGATTCCTAACCAAACAGTGGAAGTACCTTCATGGCATCAATATTCATGCTGTAGCCCTTTTATTTGAAATTGAGTATATCCTGAATTTGACAGATTGTCTCACACAAGGAACTTTCTGATGATAATATTAGAATCCAACTTCTAAGCTGAACAATGAGAGTTACATCTCCCTACCTGAAAAGATCAACATTTAAAACAAACAAAATAAAAGCCTATTTAGGGCTGATTACTATTTCATGCCAGCTGATTTCACAAAAGTTCATGTTAAAATTTTAAGAATATCTATTAAGATTCTTGTCTAGGACACTATCCCAGGAACCACAATCCTTCAGTGTTTCCCTATTAGCGCCCACAAGAAAAATGATCCTTTTTATACAGCATATGGGAAATAGATGAGAATATTCATGACCTGAAGTTACAGGTACAAGTGCTTTGAAGACCCATGGGCCTCCTACTTGAATGAAGGACTAAGAGAATCTAGGCCCAGCAAACCTGGAACCTGCACAACATACCACTATGTCAGCCCACTTAAGGAAGGTCCACAGGTGAGAGCTCATTAGCAATATACAGATGTCTACATGAACTATAGAATCAACTACAAGTGACAACAGATGATTGGCTGAAATTATCTTCTATCATATTTTAAAAGATTTTCATAAAGAATGATTGCTAAGTATTATTTATAAATTCAGGATATGAAGTACAAATTCCTCTAAAGTTAGAGCATGAATCATACAGAAATTACGGTAATAAGTTGAAAAAAATAGGAAAGCACTGTGCTCAATATATTGCACCATATTAAACATGTGTGTCAAACCAGTCTTGGCACATGGGTGGCTTAGTTGGTTAAGCACCCAACTCCAAATCTCAGCTAAGGTCTTGATCAGGATTGTAAGCTCAAGCCCCTTGTTGGGCTTCATGCCCAACTTAAAAACAAACAAACAAACAAACAAACAAAAACAGTTTGACACAATAAAGCTGAGGGAGAAGAGGTGAGATATATAATTCAAAAATATATGAATGACAACATAAGATAAAATAGACAAAGTTTCAAATGAGTACTGTAGATCACATCTCTTACAGATGAGAGAATTTGGTCTTCTAGTTTGACTAAGGAACAGGGCTTTATTGAAAAAGCTAGATTTTAGGGGCCCCTAGTAGCAAATGGAATTTATTTTTTTTAATATTTTATTTATTTATTTTAGAGAGAGAGAGAGAAAACACATGGGGGAAGGGACAGAGGGACAAACAGACTCCCTCCTGAGCTTGGAGCTCAACACGGGAGCTTGCAGGTAAGTATGATCCCAGAATTCTGAGATCAAGACCAAATTCAGATCAAGCCATAGTCAGACACTTAACAACTGAGCCCAAAAGGCACCTTGCAGATAGAATTTCTAAGGAAAGAAGGAGGATGGGCATTAGGCCAGTGTATTAACCAAGCAAGAGATGAATTTGTGTCTTTATGTTCAACGTCAAAGATGAAGAACTTCCTATATATCTCAGATAATGACAAAATCCCTCAGATTACTCTCTGGTTGTATATCATCAAACTATTTGAGTTTTTAAAATTAGTTTAAAATATAGTGGTTCAAGGTATTAAAAAATCAATATTCCTAAGCATCTTTCTATTCTTGAATTTATGTGAGGAAACGGGAGGAAAAATCAGTGTGATGTGGTGGTTCTCATTGTTTTCCAACCTATGAGAAATTAAGTTGCCTGTCCCACCTTCCATGTTATGGAGAATATATATGCAAACACTGTCAGTGAATGTTGCCGGGAAGATCCAGAGGAACAGTCCTCCTCACTATACAGAAATACATTCATGCTTTCAGTGGGAGAGCAGCAATAAACACAGATTGAATGATTGGTAGTGCAAAAGTCATCTACTCATTTTTCCATCCATCCATTCCTCTTAGACTCACACCAAGTATCCGTGCATCCAACCATTCATTCATATCACTAAAATGGCAATGCATTCACTCACAGAATAAAAGAAATTACCTGCCATGCAGAGCTTCTGTCACAAAGAAATCAAAACATTTCTTAAATTCCTTTCTATGATCTTCAGGTGGAAGCCAACTTAGAACTTCGTATGAAATTTCATTCTTTTCTAAAAACAAAACAATAAAAAAATAAAACACCTATAGAGAAATGTGTAATTATACCACACAACCTGAATTAACATCGGCATGATGATATCACGGTTTGCTTATTCCAAGGATTGGATATACACTCGATATTTGCTTTTTGAATTTTGGTTTGGTTTTTCTGCTTTCTCATTTCTTCAGTCATGCAACCTGCTAAACTTTATTGAGAACCATATAAAGATATAGTCACTTTTATTCATTTTAATGTAGTAGATTATTCTATTTAAAGTTTCTACTAGGGATCCCTGGGTGGCACAGCGGTTTAGCGCCTGCCTTTGGCCCAGGGCGTGATCCTGGAGACCCTGGATTGAATCCCACATCCGGCTCCCGGTGCATGGAGCCTGCTTCTCCCTCTGTCTATGTCTCTGCCTCTCTCTCTCTCTCGCTCTGTGTGTGACTATCATAAATAAATAAATACATTTTAAAAAAATAAAAATAAAGTTTCTACTATTCACCATTCTATAGGTGAGAAAGAAGTATCAGATAATTTGTCAAGAGTGCACATTTAGTGAATGGTATACTTTGTATTTCAATGTAGATCTTATTTTACCCTAGATCTCCAGTCATTTCTCATTTAGAAAAAGAACTAATTTTCACTAAAATTAAAAGTGATACATGCACAGGTTTCTCAATTAGCCAAAAAAAATACCAATGCCTAAATTAAAAATAGCAGTCCTCTGCAACCCTACTTCACAGCCTCTCCCCCATGTGTAATAAAAAGTCTGATACCATTTTTGAAGTTGAACTGATGACAGCTTTCAAGCTACATCTCCCCCTTAACCTTCTGTGACATATCTTGGCAAACAGAGAAGAAAGCCTCAACATTCCATCTCTTGTGGGAGCAAGAGTTTCAAGCCAAGCAAGCCAGACCCAGGTAGGGGAATCCTTACCTATCCCACTTACAAGCTTCTATAATTGGCATTTGGGGACAAAAGTATGGGTTTAGCCTTTCAGTGGCCCTGGGTCATGTGTCTCACACAAATCCCTCTTCTATATCAGCTTGGATTGTGCTTCTGGAACTCAGCATGAGCTGTGATTGACACTAGGCTAGGTAGAGTCTGTGACCAATGGTTGTGTGTCTCCAGGACTGCCCCCATTATAGACAGTGCTCTGGGCAAGACTGATTCCAGTTTACAAGCCCACAGAATGTTTGAAGAATGGTAGTCAGCATACCACAGGATGAGATTCACACTTATAACAGTAGGAGGTGCACTAGAACCCCAGAAAATTCCTCTGCTACTGCTGCTGATTACAACTCTGAAGCTAAAAGAAAACCTTGACTAACGTTGTAGTAGGGTAAAACACTGATGACATGCCCATGGAGTTAATTCAAGGAGTTCATTCAAACTCAGGTTAATTTCACATCTCTCAAAATTACCACCAGTGTGGCCTCAAGACTCGATATGATTTGGGACATTCTGAAGAAGAAACTTACAAATATGTGTAGATTAGAATGGACAACCTCCCCCAAAACACATCTAAGAGCAGCCAAAATAAAGAGGAAAGAGAGGGGCAGGGCAGGGCAGGGTGAGAGAGTCAGGAAAGAAGTTAAAACAGAGTTCTTAGTTTTGATTCACATGGAATATAATGTTACTTTTTTAAAAACTTTATAACAAAAGAATGGCCCATTGGTTTTTGTGACTCTAGACCAGAGCTTCTAAATACTTTTAACATCAGATGAGATGAACCACTAATTGTCTTCATCAATGCTGGGGCAAGAATAACAGATATATGAGTGGAGTCCCCAAATTTATCCTGAAAATTTCAGTACTCAGGAGTCAAAAATATTAGCTGGAGGGCAGATATTTATGTTCTATCTTAACTACTGGTATTAAATATCCAATAGTCATTACAGCAATATATTTACATTACCTCCTAGTGGCTATGGTTGCTCTTGATAGGTAACAAGTCAAAAATTAACATAAAATCAAAGTTTCAGCATTTACAAGCTGATGAGCTTGTCAAAATAGGACCCTTTGATCTGACCCACATATAAAAACTGTTAATGCAACTTATAGATAGTGTCTTTAAGGATTAAATCCCACTTTAAAGGATCTATTAAGCAAAGGAGTGATTAGCTCCCCTGGTTTTCCACTTAATGGCCTAGTTTAGACTACTCTTAAACCAGCAAAGAAGTAATAATACCTTGCAGTGGATGACTACAACATTATGGACATGACCTATCATACTAAGCACCCCCATTTCTAATGTTATGGAAATTTCTGACTATATCTCATTACTAATAGTTAATTTGCAAGGGTGGATTTAGTAATATATTCTGTTTAATTCCTATTTCAACAAGCTCTCAGCTGCAGTGTCTCTTCACCTTCATCTTGGAAGGATACAGATCACTTGTAACTGGCTTCCCATGGACTACCTCAATAGCCCTGCACACAAGCCTTGCCAGCAAGATCTTAACCACCTCAACTTTATCCAGAGAAGCACATGTATAACACTGCATTGAGGACAACCTCTTTTTGCAGGGATTCATTGAGCACACTCATTCAGGACACAAATATTCACATAGGAACTCACAAGAGGGATGTGCTGCTCCCCTACACAAAGCACAAGTATTCAATTCAGCTGAATTGCTGGGAACAATTACTTGTAAGTTGAAGGTCTTTCTATCCCTGATGACCATCAAGAAACAACTATACCAGTTCCACTTCCAGCATGAGTGTATAAGAAGCTTTCCTAGCCATCACGCATTCAAATAGAAACTAGTGAAAATCTTCTTTTATATATAAACACACATATTTAACTATATATATTTTTTCTGAAAATGCATTAAGAAAATAAATACAAAAATAAAAAACACACAAAATAAAATATGATACAACTATACATATTGTATACAAGAGACTCACTGTAGATCCAAAGACACAGACAGAAAGGGAAATGACGGAAAACGATATTCCAATCAAGTATTAAGCAAAAGAAAGCAGATGAGCAAATATCAATCACAAAAGTCTTCAAATCAAATAAGATTTCAAGATACAAAGAAGGAAAGTATATATTAATAAAGGTTCAATACAGCAAGAAGATATAACTATTATAAAGATATATGCACCCAATGAGAAACCATCAAAATAACTAAAGCAATAGAAGAAGAATACAGGAAGAAACAGTCAGTTCTATAATAATCATTGGACATTTCAACATCCACTTTCAATAATGGATAGAAAAGCCAGAAAGAAAAAAGATCAGTAAGGAAGTAGAAGACTTACACACATTGATCCACTAGATAGAACACTAGATATAACGACATCTTCTGAACACTCTACCCAACAATGACACACACATTCCTCTCAAGGATACATGGGACATTTTCCAGCAGAGACCATATGCTCAGCCACAAATAAGTCTCAATACATTTTGAAACATACTTACCACAGGATATCTGACCCCACCAGGAGGAAGATAGAAATTCACAACAGAAGGAAAACCAGAAAATTCACAAATTATGGAAATTAAACAATACCCTTTTAAATAACTCATGTATCAAAAACAGATCACAAGGCAAATCACAAAACACTTAGAGACAAATAAAAATGAGTACACAACATACCAAACTTTTATGGGATGTACCCAAAGCAGGACTTAGAAGGAAATGTACAGTTTTTAATGCCTATATTAAAAAGAAAGTTATCAAATCAATAACTTATTCTGCAACCTTAAGACGCTGGGGAAGAAAGTGTACTAGACCTAAGATGGAAGGTAGAATTAAAAAGATTAGGGAGGAAATTAATAAAACTGGAAATAGAAAACCAATAGAAATCAATGAAAACAGAGACAGTTCTTTGAAATAATCAAGAAACTTTACAACAATAAAGAGATGAACTACTAGGAACAGAAATGAAAGAAGGAACACTACTGATGACCACACAGAAATGAAAAGGACTGTAGGAGAATTCTATGATCTCTAGAGAGCAATAAACTAGAACAGATGATATGGACAGAAACTAGCAAAGTTAACTTAAAAAGAAAAACACATTCTAAAGAGATCTATAAAGAGGAAAATTTGTTCCATTTTGGTAAAGAACTAAGAATCTCTCGCCATACAGGTATCCAAAATATAAATGAAGGTTACACATGTCTCCATGCACTAAAGGCAAGTACACAGTCTCAAGCAAGACTGCCCTTATCTTCTACAGACTTTCGGACATTATTGATCATAATCAAGGAACCAATTCACTTCTCTAAATGCACAATGCTGGTCTTCTGAACAAGACATTGAGAGAAACATTCAACTCCCTCACCAGCCTCAGGCAGCAGGTCTCCTAAATGGCATAATGACTTACTTATACAAGTTCAAACTGAAGGGACACTGGGTGGCTCAGCAGTTGGGCGCCTGCCTTTGGTCTAGGTCTTGATCCTGGAGTCCCAGGATCGAGTCCCATTTTGGGCTCCCTGTGGGGATCCTGCTTCTCCCTCTGCCTGTGTCTCTGCCTCTCTCTTTCAGTTTGTGTCTCTCATGAATAAATAAAATAAAGATCTTTAATTAAAAAAAATTCGAACTGCAATATGTGAAAGACAGAATGGTCTGGTCATCAGTCAAACATGAAGGGAAGCAGCCATTCCAGCCCCACCAATGAGCACCATAAAAGCCCACACATACTCTCCTTTTCCTGTTCTCTCAATGCATTTTTGGACCAGTTTGGAAGTTGCCTTACTTTCCCCCATGAGGCCTGATTATGTCATTAATGAACTGTTGTGTTTTCTTAAAGATTTTATTTTGAAGTAATGTCTACACCCAAAGTGGGGCTGAAACCCACAATGCCGAGATGGAGAGTTGTGTGTTATACTGAACGAGCCAGCCAGGTGCCCCTAAAATAAAGCATTTTAAAACCTTTGGTGTGCATGTAAGGATCCAAGTCTCAACATCCGAACCTAACTTTGGGGTTAGGAGAGAAAGCCTGTATCTCTGAGTGGCTAAAACAATTTAGGGAGAAACAATATTAATTCTAGTCAAACCCTTCCAGAAAACTGAAAGAGGAACACTACTTAAGTATTCCATTAGGAAAGTATTGTACTGATAACATTGCCAGAAAAAAAAAAAAGAAAAGAAAATCCCAAGAAAATCACATAATGATGACTTACATGGACAAAGGTATAAAATTTTAAACCAGTTCACATTCCCACCAACAGTGCAAGAGGGTTCCCTTTTCTCCGCATCCTCTCCAACATTTGTGGTTTCCTGCCTTGTTAATTTTCTCCATTCTCACTGGTGTGAGGTGGGATCTCATTGTGGTTTTGATTTGTATTTCCCTGATGGCAAGTGATGCAGAGGATTTTCTCTTTTTTTTAATAATAAATTTATTTTTTATTGGTGTTCAATTTGCCAACATACAGAATAACACCCAGTGCTCATCCCGTCAAGTGCCCCCCTCAGTGCCCGTCACCCATTCACCCCCACCCCCCGCCTTCCTCCCCTTCCACCACCCCTAATTCGCTTCCCAGAGTTAAGAGTCTTTATGTTCTGTCTCCTTTTCTGATATTTCCCACACATTGCTTCTCCCTTCCCTTCTATTCCCTTTCACTATTATTCATATTCCCCAAATGAATGAGAACATACAATATTTGTCCTTCTCCGATTGACTTACTTCACTCAGCATAATACCCTCCAGTTCCATCCACGTTGAAGCAAATGGTGGGTATTCGTCATTTCTAATGGCTGAGGAATATTCCATTGTATACATAGACCACCTCTTCTTTATCCATTCATCTTTCGATGGACACCAAAGCTCCTTCCACAGTTTGGCTATTGTGGACATTGCTGCTAGAAACATCGGGGTGCAGGTGTCCCGGCGTTTTATTGCATCTGTATCTTTGGGGTAAATCCCCAACAGTGCCAATGTTACCCAGGGCAATTTACACGTTTAATGCAATCCCTATCAAAACACCATGGACTTCCTTCAGAGAGTTAGAACAAATTATTTTAAGATTTGTGTGGAATCAGAAAAGACCCCGAATAGCCAGGGGAATTTTAAAAAGAAAACCATATCTGGGGACATCACAATGCCAGATTTCAGGTTGTACTACAAAGCTGTGGTCATCAAGACAGTGTGGTACGGGCACAAAAACAGACACATAGATCATTGGAACAGAATAGAGAACCCAAAAGTGGACCCTGAACTTTATGGTCAACTAATATTCGATAAAGGAGGAAAGACTATGAAAGAGCATTTTCTCATGTGCATGTTGGCCATGTCTATGTCTTCCTCTGTGAGATTTCTGTTCATGCCTTTTGCCCATTTCATGACTGGATTGTTTGTTTCTTTGGTGTTGAGTTTAATAAGTTCTTTATAGATCTTGGAGACTAGCCCTTTATCTGATATGTTATTTGCAAATATCTTCTCCCATTCTGTAGGTTGTCTTTTAGCTTTGTTGACTGTATCCTTTGCTGTGCAAAAGCTTCTTATCTTGATGAAGTCCCAATAGTTCATTTTTGCTTTTGTTTCTTTGGTGCAGCCACTCTGGAAAACTGTGTGGAGGTTCCTCAAAGAGTTAAAAATAGACCTGCCCTACGACCCAGCAATTGCACTCCTGGGGATTTACCTCAAAGATACAGATGCAATGAAACGCCAGGACACCTGCACCCCGATGTTTATAGCAGCAATGTCCACAATAGCCTAACTGTGGAAGGAGCCTTGGTGTCCATCGAAAGATGAATGGATAAAGAAGAGGTGGTCTATGTATACAATGGAATATTATTCAGCCATTAGAAATCACAAGTACCCACCATTTGCTTCAATGTGGATGGAACTGGAGGGTATTATGCTGAGTGAAGTAAGTCAATCGGAGAAGGACAAACATTATATGGTCTCATTCATTTGGGGAATATAAATAATAGTGAAAGGGAATAGAAGGGAAGGGAGAAGAAATGGGTAGGAAATATCAGAAAGAGAGACAGAACATGAAGACTCCTAACTCTGGGAAACGAACTAGGGGTGGTGGAAGGGGAGGAGGGCAGGGGGTGGGGGTGAATGGGTGACGGCCACTGAGGGGGGCAATTGACAGGATGAGCACTGGGTGTTATTCTGTATGTTGACAAATTGAACACCAATAAAAAATAAATTTATTATTAAAAAAATTTTAAACCAAAATTTAAGCAAATTAAATCTAAAATTACATAAAAGGGAAAATACATCTTGACAAAGTGGAATTGTTCCTAGAACACAAAGATAGCTTAATATTTGAAAACCAATTAGTGACTTTCATTATTTTGACATAATCAGCATATGTATTTGTCCAAATATGTCAACCTATATATTTTAATATATGCAGTTTATTATATGCCAATATTACTCAAATGCAATGGTTTAAATAATGAAGATAGGAAACTTCAGTGGGTTACAAGAAGGTGACAGGACATACTGAAATTCCTACTTTAAGTAACTAAATAAAACCAGACCAATACATGTTGAAATGGTTTTTAGACATCGGATACCAGGTGGCACAGGACATTCATGGGTGGCTGGAGAAAATATCCAAGATACAGCTCATGGAGGAGGTCCCCAGACCTGGACTGGCCTTCTCCCTCAGTGGAACACTTCAGATTTGGGGGAGGACATGGCAGCTAGCATTCACGGAGCACAATACCAGGATACCACAAGGGAGCCATCGGGAGACAAAGCTCTCAGGCTTGGAGTCTTCCTGAGAACAGTCAAACATGTGATGAAATTACCCAAACCCCATAAAGAATAAACAGAGCATTGCCCAGGGGTTCTACAGAGCCTCTTTTCAAGCCACTACGCAGCTTGACAGTTAATGAAGATATAAAGGAAAGCTCCCCAATCAGCTGGATAAAGGTGCATTTTGATCTAACTCCTGTAACTTTGTCTCAATTGGCTCTAAAATTCAGAGGCAAAGGTGGTTATAATTTATTAAGCTCTATAAACCCCAGCTATAAGAAATCGACCCCACCTTGATAACAGCAGACTAATATAGTAGGCTTCTCTTTTCTTTTCTTTTTTCTTTTCTTTTTAACTCGCAATGCTAAGGTGAGCAATACTAGATAGATAAACTGAGGAGCCCTGAATCCAATCAAAAACTCAATTGCACGATGGGGCTTCCTTACATAAGCTTCTGGGCTGCTCTTCTACTTCCACACCCAAAGAAAGCAGAACTAACTGGCTGAAAGAGGGAGAACTCTCTAGTCAAAATAATGTTCCTCTAGGCAAAACTTTGCTTCAGTGTTTGTAGGCAAGCCCCTGAGAATCAATGATGTAACTGCACACATCCCCAAAATAAAGACCTGTCACTTGGGGAGTGTCTACCTGGTAGACGGAGAGGTACAGCAAGTTCTCTTAGGAAAAGGAAGAGTCAGACCTGCAGACAATTCAGTCCTCTGTAGGGCGGCATCTTGTGATTTCAGTTATTGATTGAAATAAACTTACACCTCAGCACTAGCACCTGACGTTATGTCATTATTTCTGAAGTCATTTATTCATTAAAGTTGTAAATAAAAACCCTATAGGGAAGTTATACAAGCAGGTAGCTGATGCAGGCTCACAAGTTTCAATAGTGAGTATTGAATCAGGTCAACTAAAATAATCCAATCACGTGTTTCCTTATTTGCAGACCTCTACCAAAGTCTACTGCTGAAGAGAAAGATAAATAATCCATTTCAAAACCTCAGAAATTTCCAGTGAATCGTAAATATTGCAAGAAACTCTGGACTATTAAAACTTGGAACCAAGAATAAAACAAAGGGGAGTCCATGGGCCTCTGAATGGTTTCTAGTTTCAGTGTGGGTGGATGTGTTAAAGTGGTAGAGGGTCTAAAGCTTTCAGCAGTTCCTCAATCCATGAGAACCATCAAAATGAAATGATCATGGACTACAATCACCATGGTTGGCAGTCAAGGAAAATACACAATCAGACTGACAATCAAGGCAGATACAAAGGGATATGTGTAGAAGGATATCCAGAGAACGATGTAGAACCGGGTCTAGAAGGTGATTAAACAGGAACAGAGCCTGAAGTTCATCTTAGAATTTTATAATTGCTCAGACTTGTTTTTCATCAAAGGTGATGAATTTGGAGATTTTTTAAAATTAAAGTTTCAGTAATTCTCAATGAGGAACCCAGAGCTTAAAGTTCTAGATCCACCCGCTCTATTATTAACCTGCTGTGTGAACATGAACAAATCTTTTGAGTCCTCTGGTCCTCTGAATGCTTGTCTGTCAACAGAGAAGACTCAACAAGATTGAAGAGCTTCATCTTCGCTGCAATATTCTTGGATTCAGTGACTCAAGAACTTCTGACATCACTATGCACAAGTCATGGGCAGCCAATGATGTCTCAAGAATATATGATCAACTCATTGATAGATTCTGATCCTAGGGCATGACTAAAAGACATTCTTGTAAAGCTTCCTTAAAGTTCAGGTCTCATAACAGGAGTAGAAAGTAACCTAGAAACAGGAAGCGCAGCTCTTCTTATGTAACAGAAGCTACAAAGATGGTTGAAGACTTCTCTTCAAAACATATTAAAGCCACACCACACAGTAGTAGTTATCAAAATGATTAATAATGATGTATGGAGGCTTGCCTGAGATGAAATGACACCTAGCTAAGGGGGTAAAACATGGAGTTATGGAATGTGGAAGTTCTGGAGGCCAGGACTCCAGAGCCTAATATGATATCCAGCAGGTAACATAAGCATACATGCACACATATTTCCCCTTCTTTCAATATAGTTAGATTCAAAAAGATTTTGTGCTAAGCAGTGCTATACAAAATACACTGTCTCTCTGGGATAGAAGAATTTGAAGATTAACAAAAAATAAATAAACAAACAAGAAATCAAAAAACCCACCTGGGATAAAAAATTCTTCTCCATAAAGAAGCATGGTGACATTATGACCATGATCTTGAAGAATCTGAGATACCTGGTCCATCAGCAGATAATGGCTTCCACCTAGGAACAATACAAAATTTCATTTTTGTAGGGATGAGAACAGAGGGTCTGAAATTGATGTGGGGGAAGGAGAAATCCAAGGTAAGGGGGCAGAGACAGCCAAGAACCCTACAGTGTCTTCGCAAATCTTAACCTGTGGAAGTCGTCCATCAATATTTCCTTTAGTGACTGATAGTCTCTAAGTCAGTGTGAAGAGCTTCTCTTCTTAGGCCTTAGGAATTCCTGATCCTAAGTACATGCTGATTGCAGCCAGCACTTATGGAGACACAGTGGAAATTAGGCACAGTACCGTGTTTGGGAGGGGGAAGGGTTCCTACTGACAATTGGTCAGAGCTTCTTATGGGAACTTTCCCTTAAGAAATTTATGTTACAGTCAGACCAAGAAATGGAAAACTTATTAGTGGAAGAAATAGCCATTGGAGCAGAAGGAGGTACACCCACCATTTAGAATCCAAATCTTTGAAATTCAAATATATTTGGCAGGATGTTTCCAGTTGGAACTGGAAAATTGCTGAACATCAGATTAAGGCATTCAGGATAACTGTGTGCCCTAAGATGGACCTGCAGGACCCAGCACATGATAGATTTGGATATCACCCTTCCTAAGATTCCTGAGATTCTATGAAAGAGAAGTTTGATCCTCTGGGGAGGTACAGGTTCTATCACTGCAAAGACTGTAAGACATCAGCCATCATACGGATTGTGTTGAGTATATGGATCTCAGCAGCAGAGAAAGTCAGATCCAGGGGAAAGGAATAGAATTTGCCCACATTGGAAAGTGGGGGTTGTTTGGAAGATAAAGGCCTCTTGATGGTTGGGTCAGCAGAGAAGGTTGTAGGACTATAGCAGTGGTGTGGAAACTACTGGAGTTTTTTATAACTATGCCTGTGCTGAGTGAGGCAACACAGGTTATAGAAAACACAAACCTGTACCTCCTGAGACTGCTTCTCTGGCTCACATCAAATCCTTGGAAGAAATGGATAAAGGAGAGAAGCCCTCCCACAGAGGCCACCATTCCTGAGGGTCTTGGTGAGCTCAATACCTTCTGGGACAGAGGCGGGGCCTCTGGCACCTCCAAACCACACCAGCTCCATCTCAGAGACCAGAGGACCTGTGCTTTCAGGAGGTGGGGAAACATTTTTTTCCTGCTGCCTCTATCATTAAAAAACAGATTTAAAACAGAAAACAGGGTTTTTAAAATAGTGATTTTTAGGAATCCCCACTGTAAAGAGTAGAGTTTGGGGAAGAGGACAGGTTTGAGGTAAGCAAACAGTAAAGTTGGGGTGTGTCCATGAGGGAGGTCTCTTGGGCTCTGGCAAAAGGCCCCTTATTCCCTTGAACCTCAGTGTCCCTGTCAGGAAATAAAATCAGGTGACCCAATTAGATGATCTTTGTGGTTTCTTCCAGTTCTCAGATCCCCAGATTCTTGGGGCTCTAACAGTAATCAGGGGAGTTCCTTATCCTTTCATGATGAATCCAGAAGTCTTGGGAAAGCTCCATCCTGTGATGCCCCCTATCCTGCTAAGTGTTCCTGTTCCCCTTCTGCTCCCTTTGAGGCAAAAGTAAAGGTAATAAAACTCAGTTGACAGAATTAATGCTTCACTGTCCTTCAAAACCTTCCAGCAGCAAGAACAAGAGAGAGGGGTCGCCTCCTGTGCCCCATCGTTTCTCCAGGTGTCCCATTAGACACATCTCACTTTGTGCTGCTGCCCCCAGGAACCCCCATCCTTGGCCTCCAGGAGCCCAAAACTGACCTCAACTTCCACTGTCTACTACCATCTACTCTGCACTCCCCCAGATTTTTAGGGTGTGCCTCCAAAAATCCCATCCTTCCCTGGAGTAGATGGCTTAAGGTCTCCAGGCTAGCACTGGATCCAAATTCTGGCCCCAGCAATGCGCCATGGGAAGCACCTCAAAGCAGATAAAAAGAGAGGAAAGGAAACCACTGTTTTCTCCAGAACTGACTCCCCCAGCCCAGCAGTGGGGACCCCTCTCTGTGACACAGGCCTGCCTACCTCTCCCTCAACGGGCCTGGGACACAATCCAGTCTGAAAACCCACAGGGTTTCCTGACCCCAGGGTGTGTGCTTGAGCCCCACACGGGTGCCCAGGATGCAGCTGTCTCTGATTTTCCTTCCAAGCACTCACCCAGTGAGGATGTGGTCAGGATTTTGGCGGCCTCTGAGAGCAGGAACCCAGGCAGGAGGAGGCAGGCTAGCAGCAGCGTTCCCTTCCCCGCCATGCTTGGTCCTTACTAGCTGCGGAGCCCAGCCCTGTGCCCAGAGCCCTGAGCCCTGAGGCCTTCACAGTGACCTGTGAGCTCTGGGAACACGTGTGCACTCGCAGCCAAGGAAATGTGCTGGCAGGCAGCTGGAGAAGAGCAGAGGGGTGGCTCCTGCCTGTATTCTCTACTGTTTGTCACTTCTGGCCCTACTGCTCCTCCCCCAAGGTGCTTGCCCCACTGGCTAATTTGTCCTCAGGCTCCTAACCTGGGGCAGGTGGAAGGAGGAGTTTGTGAGCTTTCCTTAACCCCTCTCTCACCACACTCTCCCTAGAGAAGACACTCTGAACCAGGGATGGTAGGGACCTTGGGAAGTGGCTTCCAAGACAGTTTTATGTTCAGGTGACTCAGGCCTATCTCCATTTTAAGGACTCTACCCAAATTTTCCCACCTCCTAGCTGCTCCTTTGACCCCATACTGCCATCCCCATGCCCCATGTCCCTGGGTACCTGCTTAAATCTCTGCCAGTGTTCCCATCTCAAGGTCCCAGAAGCTTATTCCCAAAGGAAAATGACCTGTAGTTATCATTCAGGTGGTTTCTTTGGAAAGTAACTACTGGGAACAAGTGCTCGTGTCCCCTAAGAGTTAAGTCCCCCTGGAGGGCCAGGTCTTGACCTGAAGCTCCGAACCTCTGAAGGTCAGTCTATAATTCTGAACAGGCATGACAAACTGGGACTGGGCAGTGGGCACCAGGAAGTTCTAGTCTTATCAATGTTTGCACTTATTCATTAGAAAAGTTACAAATCTGCCCAACATTCTTCCAGTTTTCCCCTATGTTTTGTGGTTACATGTGTGTTCATTCACAATTATCATCTTGTCAGGTACTTTATCTTCCCAATGAAAAAATTAATCTACATCAGGAAAGCACCATTTAATATTAATGCAATCACATTACTTTCTCTACAAACCTTACTCCGATCCCTCCAATTGTCCAAATCATATCCTCCATTGGGATATGAATTTGCTGGTGCAGGAGCCAATCCAGCATCACACAGCGCCTTTAGTTATCGCCTCTGTTCATCTCCTCTAGAGGATTTTTTCTAAGCCCTTCTTTGTATTTCATGTCATTGACATTTTAAAGAGTACAAGCTGCTTACTTTGATGGATTTCCAAACTGGGTTTGCCTGATGTTTTCTCATTATATTTGAGGTTAGTAGGGATTTGGTGGGAATACAACAAAGGTGGCGTTGATCCCATATCAGTGATCACGATGGGAAGCATATGATGTCACTTGATCCTGTTATTAGAGATGATAACTCTAGCTGTCGTTTACGGTGGTGCTTACCTAGATTCCCAACTGTCAAGTTGCTGTTTTTTACCCTATAATTAGGAATAAAAGTGTGGGCAGACATTTTGAAACTGTATAAATATTCTGTTCCTATCAAATTTCACCCACTCATTTTATCATCTTTCATAATTCTTACCTGAAGCAGTTGTCATGGTGGCAAATTAATGACTTTTAACCACATTTTCTTCATGTTTTGTCAAGTGGCAATGTATCATTACAAAAACCTTTCCCTTTGCCCCATCTATCAAGTTATCAATCCATCAACCAATCTCTCTATCATCTAGCTCTATCAGTTTGTTATTATTTATTCATCAATTTATATTTATCCAGTGGTCTCTGATCTCTTACTATCATCATGTATTGGATTGCTCCTGTTAAACATCAACCATTTTAGAACTTTTTCTTTCTTTCTTGCATGCAATTTCCAGATTCCTCTTGTACTTTTCTGTCTGTGTCTTAAATTCTTCCATTTCATGAGGAAAGCTTTTAGTAAGGAATGATATTTAGAAACCTGGATATGGATGGCAAAAGAGCTCATTGCTAATGAAGCTCCACTCTTTATAACTATTTTTACATGGATAGACTTATTCAATATAGAGATATAGATATGTAACATTTACATGTGTGTGTTTAGTTTGTGAATGACTGTGAATTCATACTGATACTTCTCATTCCAAAATACTACCACAGAGATTATTTTAATCTCCTCCATTTCCATTAGTAATTCCTAAGGTTTTATTGCAAGGTTGGGAAACGTCCTTTCACCATCTTTGGGATATTTACTCATTTGTTCAATCATAATATGCACTGAAAAAAAGGTTACCTACCACATATTCATCCACCAACTGTGAGTATCAACTGTACTCAAGAGACTACTTTAAGAACAGTCTACTCGGAAAATAGATTTTTTACAGTTCTTTTTTTTTAGATTGACATGGCAGATATTCACAGTACTATGTTCAAAATGCAGTTGGGTTCACTCGTTTTTTTCAGTATACTGCAATTACATTGCTACATTAGAAACCTTTTTTGAGTTTCTTTGTTCCTATTGGTGTTCCATTTTAGTTTTCTTCTCCACTATTTTGTTTTAAATATAATTTTGTTATGTAAAATACTAACATGCCCTCAAAACCCAAACTATGTAAACAAAGAAGTCCATAGACCTGCCATTTGTTTCCCTGACCATCAAGCTATTCAAAAACAGCCTCATAGATACTCTATCACATTATTCTGATTTTCCTTCCTCAGCTTCTTTTTGCAAAGGAATGAAGATAGATTTATATTTTTATTCTCTCCTCCTTTCTCTTGTCTTAAAAGTAAAAGTGAGTGTATTATATATCTTTAGACTATGCTCTTTCTTACTGAACAGATTAGAATCCAGCCAACATTATTTTTTAACTTGTCTTGTTTAGGGTACATTATAATGTCTATTGTTCCAATGTGTGCATTTACCATAGTTCATCCCTCAATCTTTTTAAAAGATTTTATCTATTTATTCATGAGAGACACACAGAGAGAGAGAGGCTGAGACACAGGCAGAGGGAGAAGCAGGCTCCACGCAGGGAGCCCAATGTGGGACTCGATCCTGGGACTCCAGGATCACGCCCTGAGCCAAAGGCAGACACTCAACCTCTGAGCCACCCAGACATCCCTCATCTCTCAATTTTAATAGTTTTTTTAAATTTTGGGAATAATAGTCCTCTATATGTGATGAAATTTAAATATATTTCTCTCACTATTTCATTTGTATTTTAGCCATACAAAAAACTTTTAATATTGTCAAATTAGTTCAATTAGATAATGTTTCTTTGTGGCATCAGGATTTTAAGTCGTATCTAGAAAGTCTTCCCATGCACACAGGTTATGGAGAAATTCACCTCTTTTTTTTTTAAGACTCAATATATTGTCATTTTTATATTAAATATTTTATATCTTTAGAGTTCACTCTTAGATATGGTGAGATATGGATCATATATTGTCATTTTTCTAAAATGTTATCCAGGCATCTCAGCATTGTTTGTTCAAGCTACTATGCTGTGTGCTGTAACAACAAAATAAATAGATCACAGCTTCTGACTGTTAGGATCTTAGAGTTTCTAAATACGACACATAAATGTCAACAATTTCAATACAGTAAACAACAAAAATGCTTCAAAAGAGGATATCCAGTGAGCTCTGCTGCAAGTGTTGAGGTCAAGTTCGGCCACGCTGATGTGAACATAAATGTGAAATAAATGTTTGATAGGAAGACGATGTAGAAGCTTTTTGTTCCAATTAGAGCCGAATGGCATTTCTGAGAGAGGACACAGCTGGGTCAAAGACACAAGGGTACAGAATAACACAATGTGTTGGGGTGGATAGGACAAAAATTCCCTCCTTTGCCAGATTTTATAAGGATCCTCTGAATCCCCTTCTAGACTAGGGTTCAGCCTTGACCTGCTTCCCTGCCCTTGGCCCACTGAGCCCGCTATTAGCAAAGAACCCACATCTTCCAAAGTGCCCAGCATGGTGCCTGTAAAAACATGAGATCAGTCAATGTTGGCTGAATCAAATTGTTGAACTGGGTAAAATGCACTCATATTAAGGACTTTCAAAATATGAAATCTGCTTTTCAGAAAGAGCTTATTCCTTGAGCCAAGTGGAAGTTTATTTCAGACAAGTATTCAATTTCCTTCTTTTTCGTGGCTGATTGGTTGACAAACAAATAACCATCTCACAGTAGCCTGCATTAGGATATCACAAACTCTTGGAACACCTGGTGGCTCAGTGGGTTAAGCCTCTGGCTCTTGATTTAGCTCAGGTCATGATCTCAGGGTCCTGTAGTCAAGACCCGTGTCAGCTCTGCACTCAGCTAGGAGTATGAAGATTCTCTCCTTCTCCACCTGTCCCTAACCCTACTCATGCTTTCTCTCTCTCTAATAAATAAATAAATATTTTTAAAAATATTTTATGATTTGAGCTTGTGGGATCTGAATAATAAATCTGTGCTACCATAAGACTATAATGATTTTCCTTTGGAATGTTCATAGCCAGTGTTCACCTTTAGGTTGATAATACACTTTGAGTTCATTTTTGTGTATCATATGCAGTGAAGTCAATGTCCTTTTGTGTATATAATTAAGCAAAAATCAAAGACTCTTTCAGTACAATTTGCTAAAGATATTTGACTTTTCCCATTGACTTGACTTTCCATTCTCTCCCGAATCAACTGAACATGTCAGTGTGGGTCTATTGCAGTTTTCAGGATTGGGAGTGGTAGCCAGAAACAAATCACAGAAAGATTGTATTCCATGCAATGAGAGCTGACAAAAGATCTGAACCAGGGAATGATGAGATCAGATGTTCATACCATCAAGGCCATGCTGACAGCCCCATGGAGAAGGTTTTGATGGAAGGAGACTAAAGGCATCATCTTGGCTCACTGGCTCCTTTGATTAGATTTCCTAAATGGAAGTGTAGCCCAGGAATCAACAGAACAGGGTTGGCCTCCCTGTGATCAATCTCTTTGGGGAGAATAACAGGCTGGAACAGGAATGGGACTCATCAGCTGAAAGCCTCATCCTTTGGTCTTTTTGTTGGTTATGAGGGGAAACATCTTGGCTATTTATTCTAATGACAACACAGAGAAAGTTTCAGGTCTTCCTTTCAAGGGACTATTATCAGAGACCGATTTCAGAGATTTCATAAGAATTGCAGAAATAAAACCTGGAATTACACACACACACAGACACATACACACTCAAACGTGTCCTAATGTGGCATGCTTGAGCTGTATGTGACATAGTATAGCATGAGAACTCACAGAACTCAAGTAGACACTTGGCACCAGCTCTGAATTCTACCCAGAGAATCCTATTCTGACATTGGCAAGGGTGGGCTTCTTTCCACTTTTGTAGGGAGTATTTGTAATAGCTACTTCATCCTCCATTTGAATGATTTGAAAATGTGTTGAAACCCCAGAATTAACCAATCAAAAACCAGCATGATTGGGGCTGTCTAGTGTATCCACCATTTTCTTCACTATGGTTCACTATAAGAGATACCATATGTTTGAAACTTCTAGGGAGACACTGATTTGCATGTGAGAATGCAAAAGCAAATGTGAGGACACAATCATCGGAAGGTAAAATATATTATACAAGGAACTTGCCAGAGAGGGCGCCTGATGTCTAGTAAAGAAAATAGAAAAGTCTAAAGATAGTTAATTATTTTTTTTTAGTTAATTAATTTTAAAAAGAGGTAGGAGCTATAGACAGTAGGATGGAGCAGGACACAGGCCCATATAAAGAAACAGAGCAAATAAACAAAAACTCTGGTAAGGCCTATTACTTCTAGTGTAAGTTGCTAGGAACTGAGTATAATTCCTAAAGGTTCACACATACAGGAATACTCTTTGCACATTTGGGGGGCAGATGGGTGTTTCCTAAGTCAACAAAGTGCTTAGAACTGCCATAGACACTGACCATGAGGCCTCAAAACTCATGCAGAGGTCTGGGTTCTACACTTGAGGTCTCTCCATGACTAGATTTTTAAGCCTGAGAATCTTGAGACAGGATCTGTGAAAAGTAAAAGCAGAACAACCACCCTGGACCAAGGGTAGATTCCAGGTTTTCCCTTCAAAGGAGGTGCTCTTCACAGGAGGGGATTCAGCACAGTGACCACAGAAGGAGTCCTAAGGGTCATGCATGTCTAACTTCAGGACAGGGACCAGGCTTTCTGAGCTTGGAGGTGAAGGGGAAAGGATCTGCAAGAGGAAGGCCCAAAATAGAAGAACTGGCCAATATCTTCTGTTATATCATAAAAAGTGATCATGGAGTAAGGGAAGACAGAACGAGCAGTGTCTAGGCACCAAGGATGCAATAAGCAGGGCCCTGCGTCTAGGGATAAGGAGTAGGGAGGAATGTGGGCTATCTGCTGAAGGTTTGGGTCTGAGTGAGGTGTCCATTGATAGGGGCAGGCAAGTCATGAAACCAGGATACAATTCATAGACACAGAAAGTAGAACCAGGTTTGCCAGGAGCCTACTGAGGTGGTAGTAGAGGCAGGGATGGGAGGAATTACTGTTTCATCAGCAAGGTGTTTGAGTTTGGGAAGGTGAAAGCAGTTCTGGAATAGGTGGTAGTGATTTTATGCACGATAATGTCAACGGGCTCATTGTCATTGATTCTACACTAAATAGTTAAAGGGTAAATTTTATATAATATATATTTTACCACAATTTAAAAGAATAATCACAAGAGTGCTTCGCAATAATTTTTTAAAAGATTTTATTTATTTATTCATGGGAGACACGGAGAAAAAGAGAGAGAGAGAGAGAGGCAGAGACACAGGCAGAGGGAGAAGCAGGCTCCATGCAGGGAGCCCAATGTGGAACTCGATCCCGGGTCTCCAGGATCACGCCCTGGGCTGAAGGCAGCGCTAAATTGATGAGCCACCTGGGCTTCCCTTCACAAGAATTTTTAAACACAAGGAGAAAATAGTGAAACAATATTTGCAAGCTACCCTCAGTACTAATACAAAGAAGACACCAGGGATGTCCTGTGCTGGGGAAAGCCATCTGCAACCAGTGGCTCCCCAAACACCTGTCAAGGCTGAACCTCCATCAGGCCTTCTTCTGCTTCCTGGCCCCACACACCCACCTGGCCACCATGCCCAGGAGCTTCCCACAGAGCCACAGGGTGCCCAGGGTGACCATCAGCAGGAACAAGATGACATCCAGCAGGTACTGCTCATGCCATGGCTGCTGCAAGGCATAGGGCTTGAGGTGTGCTGCACCCCCTGTCTGGAGGATGTGATCGATCCAGCCCACCAGCCTCTGGGCAGGGGTCAGGGGGTGAGAGCGCCTGATGATGCTGGCAGCCATGGCTGCTGACTTGTACCTGTTGGCAGAGACAGCGTTGAGGTGTTACTCATGTGACCTCAGAAGTCTTAGAGACCTGCATCTCACACACACTTTCATCCAAATGCACAAAAGACTCAGTTTGAAAGACTAGTTCTTGGCCTGGCCTTGCCACAGTCTAGCTGGGTCCCACTGAAAAGTTCTAACTGGTCCCTCCATGGGGTGTGGCCCTGTGCTACAGGGAACACAAAGGAAATAAGAGACACACTTGGCCATCCAGGGGAGCTTACACTCTACTTTCTAGTATAAGGGACACACAATAAATTCAAACAGAATGAAGTGGTGTGGTTACTGATCATGAGAAGTATTAAGACAGAAAAATTAATTATGATTGAGGAGGCTGGAGAATAAAGTATTTAGGACTGTCACACAAAGACCTCCTGTCTCTCTGAGGAGAGGACATTGGCAATAAGTGTAGCTATCATGAAGGAGCCAGCCCTGTGAAAAGAAGGGAAGGATATATCCTAGGGAGCATCAATGACAAAGTGCCTGAGGCAGGAAACACTGGAGGACAAGAAGGTGACCTCCTGCCTCAGTGTAATTCCAGTATACGCACCCCCAAAATCTATGACTTCTCACACACTCTTAGGGTCAGAGTCTTCACAACTCTTAAGATAGAAAACTATTCTCAGCATCTAACTTAAATTGCCTACTCTTGCTCTTAGAGGAAATAGGTTAACTGTTAGCATCACACATGTATAATTCTGTGTCTTGAAAGTTTCAGCTTTTGTTGCAAAAAAAAAAAAAAGCCACACAATGCCCTCTGTGTTTGATATCTTCATTTAGCCTAAATGACCACAAGCCCAAAGAGTTCCAGACCTCTTGTCTTCTATAACTTGCTTCATCTTCAGAGCCAATGTCTCTGCCTTGATCTGCTGTAGCTGGATAGAGACACCAAACTTTTTGGCCTCTACTCGGACAAGGTTTTCAGGCTGGTCTCCAAGGACAGGAATCCCTACCATGGGCACACCATGTTGGATGGCTTCCATTATGCTATTCATCCCACCATGGGTGACAAAAAGACGGATGCGTGGGTGAGCTGTTGCAAATCAGGAACAGAACAGAATATTTCATGGTGAAAACTTTCAGAACACCAAGGAGAAAGAGCATCAGGGTAGAAGAAAATACAAGGCATTTCAAGGTATGTTGGAGAAACTGGATTTAGCTTTTGACACACCCAAGAGTGCATATTCACTCTTAGGTGAATAGGTACAAAATACTGGCCTTGTCTCTGTGTAGAGATTCCTCTAAATCAATACATCTAAAACTAAGAACCCAGGGACAATTGCTGAGAACAATCATAAATAAGCACAACATTTTCCTCCATCCCTTGTCTTCCATCCATCCTTGTCTTTCAACCCTGTCTTTTTCTTTTCTTCTCTATTGTCTCCCTGTTATCTTTCCCAGTGTCACTCTTTCTGTTTCCACTCTTATTTTCTATCTCTGTCTCTCCTTCTCTGTCCCTGTCTCTCACTCTCCAGGTCTCTCACCCTCTAGGTCTCATGCTCTTTCCTTCACTAAACTTTTGCTTCCCTCTTATCTAAAGTCTTAACACTTTCGCTGACACCACATCTCATATGACATTCATCAAATTTATACTATATCTGCTTTCTCCTCGATTTCATAAGAAACTCTTTAAAATAGGCAGTGATGGACCACTCATCTCAGCATTTCCAGCTCCTGTGTGCCCACCCCACTCTTATTTAGAGAAAACTAAAACAAGTGCTGATAATGAAGAGTTCACCTCAAACACTGCCTCTCAATGGTGATGCACATCAGAATCCATTTGTATTTCTCTGAAAATCACAATTCTTTTCCCTACATCATGCCCTGTGAATATATGTGCAGAGTCATCTATCTTAATTTCCCAATATATTAGTGAACTACAACACTGGGGACTAATCTCTGATGTAAACAGTGGTTGTGGCCCTGAGGGGCTTCAGAAGTAGCACAGAGCAATGACAACAATGGGGTGTAAGGATCCCTCTATTACCAGAGATTTTGATGGACAAAATAACTTGCTAAGGCTACAAGGTTAGTCAGCTTGACACTCAGATATCTTGGCACACCCTTCAGACACCATCAATATCAATTCTGTGAAAGCTTGAATATATCTTTTGTAGCATAGAATGTTTTAATATGTGTGGGAGTGTGTGTTTATAATGGCACATTGGCCTAACAAATACTCAAGAGGCCAGGAACAACAGCGGAAAAAAATCCACAGTATGTGTCCACAAATTGTCTTGGATTGTGTATGGACAACCTTGGTCTGTGCCAAATATAGAAAGGTCAAAACTACCTGATGACAATATCACTTATGGCTACAGGTATCAGGAGTGCGATAGAATAGGAAGAAGAAAACATGCCAGTTATACTCATTTGGAAAGTATAGCCTCATTTCCTAAGAACTCCAGCTAGCTACTCCATTTCTGTCCTCTCAAGATTACCTTTGGCTACCAGATGCCCCTTCCCATGTTGGCAGAGTTACCCAGTGGAGCCCCAAAGATACATAAATGGAAAGAGAGAAGTAGATTGGATAGTCCTTACCCAAGAGGTCATTCTGGGGAAGCCAGTCCACAATCTTCACATTTGCTGCCAATTTGACATCTTTAGGCCAGTGAGAAGGATTGTACTTCCATATCACCCCTTGAGACAGATGAGCAAAGGCACCGTTCATCTCCCTGAGGACTTCCCGGGACTGATAGAGATTCACCATGGAGCCCAGGGCCACAAGGACAAAACCAGAGTCTCCAAACTTGGCAATGAAATTCTCAAATTCCTGGAGAGAGGTAAAAGAGGCAAGGAGTTGAACAGAGTTGCTCATGAATGCCTATATAGCCTTGAAATGAAAGTCATCTATTTATTGAATACACCCTCCTGTAGTGCCTAGACCTCACTGTCTTGAGGTGGCTCTCATAGCCCATGGGACACCTCAGTGCCATTGTGCCTGCAGAACTTGAAGTCATTTCTCTGAGACCTCAGGATACATCATACCACATAAACACTTCCAATAACCATGAATGGAAATGAAGAGAGCTTTAAATATGTAGGCATTACCACAATAGCCCACATTGCCCATGAGGCACTCAAAGCATACTGTGGCACCAACATCTAGATCCAGGACTTGCATGTATAACAATGTTTTGTTTTGCCTTTTTTATAACAATGTTTTATAGAAGTGGAAAGTCTATATGGTGGGAATCTCTTTCTACATTGAAAATAGGCCCCAGTACCAGGGTCTTCCTCATCCTTCATTCTAGGTATGGGGAGATAGGGAAATTTAGGAATGTTCTAACACCAGACCAGAAAGTTCTAGTGCCTAAGAGAGTGCCAGTTACTGTCTTGGCCCAGTAGGAGGCAGTATGCCTTCTGAAGACTGATGTAGATGTTGGAGAAATGTCTCTATCAGGTGTCTTCTTCATGGGCTTGTTATCCACCTGTCTGTCTTCTTTGTTGAGGGGTCTGCTAAGGTTTTTGGCCCATTTTAAAATTATTGATTTATTGTTTTTTTATTGTTCTTACTGAATTTTAATAGTCCCTTGTATATTTTGTATATATAGTTGTGTAGTTGTGTGTATAAATGTATATTTTGAATAATGGTCTTTATCAGATATGTCTATGCAAATATTGATTATTGGTCTGTGAATCCTCTTTTTATTCCCTTTACAATTCTGTCTTAGAACAAAAATGTTTAATATCAATTTAGCCCACTTATCAACTCTATCATAGAAAATGTCTTACTATTAATGAGATGCAATAAAAAAATGGAGTCTTTTACTGCTAGTAAGTGAGGCAGAAAAGAAAATTTGTGATATAAAAGACAAAATGATAGAGAATAAAGAAGCTGCAAAAAAGAGAGATAAACAACTATTGGATCATAAGGGGTGATCTCGAGAGATACCATAAGTGAAATAATATTAGAATAATTGAGATCCCAGAAAAAGAGGAACGGGGGGAGCAGAAGGTATATTGGAGCAAATCATAGCTGAAAACATCCCTAATCTGGGGAAGGAAACAGGCATTCAACTCCAAGAGGCAGAGAACCCCTCTCAAAACCAATAAAATAGGTCAACACTACAACACATAATAGTGAAGTTGGCAAATATCAGAGACAAAGAGAAAATCCTAAAAGAAGCTCAGGATAAAGCTCTATAACCTACAAAGGTAGAAACATTAAACCAGTAGTAGACCTATCCATAGAGGCCTGTCAGGCCAGAAAAAACTGGCATGATATATTCAGGGACCTGAATAAGAAAAACATGCAGTTGAGAATACTTTATCTATCAAGGCTGTCATTCAAAGTAGAAGGAGATATAAAAAGCTTCCAGGACATAAAGAAAATAAAAGAATTTGTGATCACTAAACCAGCCTGCAAGAAATATTAAAGGGGATCATTTAAGCAAAGAGATAGCTCAAAAGTAACATAGACCAAAAAAGGAACAGAGATAATATACAGAAAAAGTGACTTTATAGGTATTACAATAGCACTAAATTCATATCTTCCAATAGTTATTCTGAATGTAAATGGGCTAAATGCCTCATTCAAAAGACACAAAGTATTAGATTGGATAAGAAAGTAAGACCTATCAATATCCAGTCTGTAAGAGGGTCATTTTAGACCCAAAGATGCTTCCAGATTGAAAGTAAGAGGGTGAAAAACCATTTATCATGCTAATGGACATCAAAAGAAAGCTGAGGTAACCATCCTTATATCAGACAAATTATGTTGACACCAAAGACTATAATAAGAGATGAAGAGGGACACTATATCATACTTAAAGGTCTATCCAACAAGAAGATCTATCAATTGTAACTACTTATGCTCCTAACATGAAAGCAGACAATTATATAAACCAATTAATAACATAATTAAAGAAACATATTGATAATAATACAGTAGTAGAGGACTTCAACACCCCCACTCACAGCAATGGATAAATCATCAAAGCAAAAGATCAATGAGGAAACAAGGGCTTTGAATGACACATTGGACCAAATGGATTTCACAGGTATATACAGAGCATTCCATCCTAAAGCAACAGAATACACATTCTTCTCCAGTGCACATGGAACATTCTCCAGAATAGATCACATACTGGGTCACAAATCATGTCTCAGCCAATACCAAAGGATTGGGATCATTCCTTGCATATTTTTTGGACCACAATACTTTGAAACTTGAACTCAATTACAAGAGGGAATTTGGAAAGGACTCAAATACATGGAGGTTAAAGAGCACTTACTAAAGATGAATGGGTCAATCAGGAAATTAAAGAAGAATTTTAAAAATTCATAGAAACTAATAAAAATGAAAATACAACAGCTCAGAACCTTGGAGATGCAGCAAAGACTGTCCTAAGAGGAAACTATACAGCAATGCAAGCTTTTTCCAAGAAACAAGAAAAGTCTCAAATACACTATCTAATCATACCTAAAGGAGCTGGAGATAGAACAGAAAATAAAGCCTAAACTCAGCAGAAGAGAATTAATAACGATTAGAGCAGAAATCAGTGAAATAGAAATCAAAAGAACAGTAGAACAGATTAACAAAACTACAAGCTGCTTCTTTGGAAGAATTAATAAGATCAATAAATCCCTAGCCAGACTTACCAAAAAGAAAAGAGAAAGGACAGAAATTGATTAAATCATGAATTAATGGGAGAGAATAGAACCAACACTGAAGAAAACAATTATAAAAAGATATCATGAGCAACTCTATGCCAAAGATTAGGCAACCTGGAAGAAATTGATGCATTCCTAGAAACATAAAACCCACCAAAACTGAAAGAGTAAGAAATAGAAAAACCTAACCAGCAAGGAAATTGAAGTAGTAATAAAAAATCTTCCAACAAACAAGAGTCCAGGGCCAGATGGATTCTCAGGGTAATTATGCCAAACATTTAAAGAATTAATACCCTTTTCTTTTGAAGTTGTTTCAAAATATATAAGTGGAAGTTTTACATTCTATAGAAAGCATTACCTTAATCCTAAAACCAGACAAAGACCTCAACAAAAAGAATTACAGATCAATATCTCTGATGAACATGGACACCCAAATTCTCACCAAGATACTAGCAGGATCCAGCAGTACATCAAAAGGATTACTCATCATGACCAAGTGGGATCTATTCCTGAACTGCAAGGGTTGTTTAACATCCACAAATCAATCAATGTGATATATCACATTAATAAAAGAAAGGACAAGAGATACATGATCTGCTTAATAGATACAGAGAAAGCATTTGACAAAATACAACATCCTTTCTTGATTAAAATTCTCCACATTGTACAGATAGAGGGAACATACTTCGATATCATAAAAGCCATCTACAAAAAAAAAAACACACACACAGAAAACATCATTCTCAATAGGGAAAAACTGAGAGCTTTTCCCCTAAGGGCAGGAACACGGAGGGATGTCCACTATCACTACTGCTTTTCAACACAGTACTAGAGGTCCTAGCCTCAGCAATCTGACAAAAGAAATAAAAGGCATCCAAATCAGCAAAGAAGTGGTCAAACTCTCACTCTTCATAGATGACATGATACTCTATATGGAAAACCCAAAAGACTCCACCTTAACATTGCTAGTACTCATATAGGAATTCAACAAAGTGGCAGGATATAAAATCAATGTACAGAAATCACTTGCATTTTTATACACTAATAAGGAGGCAGAAAAAAGAGAAATGAAGAAGTTCATCCCATTTACAATTGGACCAAAAAACCATAGGATAACTAGGAATAAACTTAACCAAAGAGGCAAAGGATATGTACTCAGAAAACTATAGAACAACAACAAAAAAAAAAAACTATAGAACGCTCATGAAAGAAATTGAGAAAGACACAAAGACATGGAAAAATGTTCTATGCTCATGAATTGGAAGAACAAATATTGTTAAAACGTCTATGTTATCTAGAGCAATCTATACAATCAATCTCAATCAATCTCTATCAAAATACCATGGACGTTTTTCACAGAGTTGGAAAAAATAATCCTAAAATATGGAACCAGACATTCCTGGAATAATCAAAGTAATCTCAAAAAAGAAAACCAAAGCTGGGGCATCACAATGCCGGACTTCAAGCTGTATTACTAAGCTATAATCATCAAGACAATATGATATTGGCACAAAAACAGACTCATAGATCAATGGAACATAATAGAGAACCCAGAAATGGACCCTCAACTCTATGGTCAACTCTTCTTTGACAAAGTAGGAAAGAATATCCAATGGAAAGAAAGACAGTCTCTTCAAAATGGTGCTGGGAAAATTGGACAGCTGCATGCAGAAGAATGAAATGGGACCATTTCCTCAAACCATAAACAAAAATAGATTCAAAATGGATGAGAGACCTAAATGTGAAATAGGAATCCATCAAAATCCTAGAGAAGAACACAGGAAGCAACCTCTGTGACCTCGGCCAAAGCAACTTCTTGCTAGATGCATCTCCAAAGACATGGGAAGCAAGGGCAAAAATGAACCACTGGGACATCAAGATAAAAAGCTTCTGCACAGCAAAGGAAACAGTCAACAAAACTAAAGGGCAGCCTACAGAATGGGAGAAGATATTTGCAAATATCCTATCAGATAAAGGGCTAGTATCCAAAATCTATAAAGAACTTATTAAATTCAACACCCAAAGAACAAATAATCCAGTCAAGAAATGGGCAGAAGGCGTTGAACAGACATGTCTCCAAAGAAGACATACAAATGGCCAGCAGACACATGAAAAAATGCTACACATTACTCGGCATCAGGGAAATACAGACCAAAA